TACTTTCCCACAAGGGGATTTTGAAGGTATGTTGTTTTCACTGCTTAGTTTCGAGTGATTAAGCTTCTATATATTTTTTTTCAGATCGGTGACTTCGGTTTGGCCAGAGAATTTGGTGATCCTTTGAAACCCTATACACCTGTTGTTGTCACTCTATGGTATCGTTCTCCTGAACTTTTACTGGGTATTAAGGTTAGCATTTTGGAATTTTTACGTTTCAAAAAGATTTGGTAGTCTTTTTATGTCTAACGCTGTGTTTTCAGGAGTACTCCACTTCTGTAGATATGTGGTCATGTGGTTGTATCTTTGCAGAATTCCTAAAACTAAAACCTTTATTCCCCGGGAAAGGAAATTTAGATCAGATTAATAAGATTTTTCTTGTAAGTGAAATTAAACTTGTTCTGTCAAGATTTCATTTGAGGAAAATGTGCTTGACTTCTATAAAATTTGTGTTTAGGAATTGGGCACTCCTAATGAGAGGGTATGGCCTGGCTATAGTAGTCTTCCAGGGCCGCAAAAAATGAAGTTCGAACTTCATGAGCATAATCAGTTAAGACGAAGGTTCCCATCAAACGTTTTGGACGAAAGCGGTTTTGAACTTCTAAATAAGTTAGTTCTGCTGCAATGGTGTATATCTTAGCAACTTCTTTATTTATCTTTTCACTTCTTATAATATTATAGAGGTTTGCTTACATACGACCCAAAGAAACGGCTTTCTGCAAAAGATGCTTTAAACCACATTTGGTTCAAGCAGGAGCCGTTACCGACGCCGACAGATATGTTTCCGACATGGCCAGCGAAAAGCGAATTGGGCAAAACGGTTCCGAAGAGCCCAGTCTCGAAGACAGCAGCCAGTCCAAAACAGGTATGCTTGATATTTTCTAGTTTTGAGATACATTTGCTTTTAGAATAACTAATATTTGACTTTTTGCAGTAGTAATTAGCTAAGCTAATATTATTTGATTATTTTGTACTAAATATTGCACATTTGCTTTCAGACACGTGACGAAAAACTCTATCGAGAGCTGAAGGTTGAACCTCCTAAAAAAGAAGCAACATGCTTCGCTTTAAAATTTGATGCACCGAAATTTAAATGAGGCTGGAATTTTAGTCTGTTACTTTGAATATATGCTTTATAGATTGAATTACTTTTCCAGATTTTGATATTTTATTGTTTTTATTTCATGAAGGTTACGTCTTTAAGGTATTTCAAACCATTTGACCTATGTTTTCAGAATACAGTATTTTTACTTAACATTATTGTAAAGAGCTTTTTGAAATGCATTTTGTTGAAATTGCATGGAAATTTGAAGTTAATAGCTGCTTGAGATATGGAAGCTGCTGATGCAAAGCAGAAGTTTCTACACTTCAATTGGTCTCTTAGAGGCTCGCCAAAAAGTTGGAAATTTTGATGTTTCTAGGCAGAAGATATCTCAATTTTAATTGTATATTTGTATATGGTTTTACTGTTTTGCGACTCATTTGGACTGCTTTTTTTCATTGTTATTCGCTTGCTTTTTTGTTTGAGACAATTATTTCTTGCTCAATTAACTATGGTTTCTGTTGTATTTATTGCTCTGAAGAGGCGGAGACGTTATTTTGTACCTCGATGATCTTGAAAAAGTGAATTCTTGTGACTTCTTTTATATTGCCTTAGTGAAAGAAATTCTCTGTTAAATTTCTAGTTTTCGTCATTTCACTTATTTTACTGTGTTCCTTGTCTCGTTGCATATCGCACAGTCTATCTATCTGTGGGATGAGCGTTTTTGATCTGGGTTGTTTTGTTCGAGTTTCCTTAATAGCTTACCAACATTCTTTTTTTGTTATGCCTCTGTTTGTCGTAGCAGGCAGGAATAAACGTCTTTGATCTGTCGCTTTTGCTCAAGATTGGTTCCGGAGTTATTATTAGATTTTTTCGAGAAAGATTAGTACGTTTTAGGTGGTGTCTAGCGGAAGGGGCGCGGGCAGCTGATTTGTTATCGTTGTTGGTTTTTGCCTCTAAGGTTGTGGTCGCTTTCTAGGGGAATTGTAGTGGGGAGGTTTTAGGATGTTCTGTTGGTTCTGTCTAGTTGGCTATATTGAGGTGTGAAGGGGTAGCATGAAGAAGCTGATGGTTTAGTTCGTAGTTTTTGAGTTGGTAGCGTAGCTGTTTTTTTTCTGAAAGTTGTCGGAATGTGCGGCATATGAGATTAAGTTGTTAAATCATGGAAAATTTGTTTAAAGGTTATTGTAAATGAAGTCGAGGTACAGTTTGAAGGGTTTAGACATTTAGTGGAACAGCTTTTTGTTTATGCTTGTAAGAACAGAAGGAAGAATTAGTTTGCTGAAGTTTTTAGAAGTGATGATATCTATAGCTGACCAATTCAACGTTTTTACAGTGGATTAGTTTTACAGAACTTACTGAGTTGTAATTGCGAAGCAGTTTGTGTTGTTCTTGTTGAACATCGGCAGCGAAACTATTAAAGGTTTAATGTCGTTAACTTTCGATCAACTTTTGACTGAGGCTCGATGCAGTTCAAGTGGAAAGACGGAAGTGTTCTAGTTGTTTCAGTTAACAATATTTGTAATAAAATGTGCAACCGGTGTCAGTGTTTGTTTTAAACCGGATCTATGAGATGTTTCAATATACTAATATCCGGATTTTTACTTTTCAAAATATGTAAGTATCCTCCGAATGAACTCTTCTCAAAAAAAAAAATATTAGTAGTAAAGTAATGAAGTAGGTATGTCCTGTTTTCTTTCGTTTATCTACGTTTTTTTTCCTTGTGTTAGATTTTAACATTTCTAATATTTTATATACACAGACTCATGAAACCACCAAATATTTGGCTAATTTCTGGGTTGGGCCACTAATCGTAAATATGCGTTCTTACAAATATCTGATTCTCAACTTCTTATTGTGATGGGATTGATTCCGCTTATTGGTGATCGCTACGTAACGGGAGGATTATTTGTAATAATTTTTTAAATGTTAGTTCTGTAAAAAATATGGTTAACAGTAACAGCGAGTATGAATTAATCTTGAACTGTTGTAATCAGAAGTATCTTTTTTGTTTCTTAATTTGCCACATTTGTGCGTAGTTTAAGTGTGTTCGTTCGTTTCACTCTCAGTTTCTTTTTGATGAAAATTTTATCATTTTTTTTGAACAGTAAAAACTTACAGTCAACGATTTTTCTGGTAGACAACCGAAATTGTTCAAGTAAACTGAAGAACGCTTGAAGTACTTAAGTAGCATCAAATTTTGTTGTTCAATATTATATCATCTGGGCATTGATTATAAATTTTCATCTTGATGCCTGTTTGTAGTATAAGACACTTTAATATAGTTACATAAATTATCGAGAACTTTTTTTTCAGAAACGTTTACTGCTTAAAATAATCTAAGGATTTAAAAGATTTTTGAAAACAAGAATAAAAGATAATTTTTTTGCAATTTTATAACCTTATAAATCGTTAAATTCATTAACGACAGATGGCAATACGATGTTTGGAAGGCAGAACACGATTTTTTGTTCTTGCATTAGTTATGATCTGCTTAGCTGCTGTATTTTCCAATATACTTGCATTTTCTGCTGCACAAATGTGCATAGATGATGGTACAAAAGCGTTGTCGGTGTCTCCGTCAAAGTAAGTAAATGTATCCCATTATTTGTGAGTTTCAGTTTTTTCATCTGCTTATTTTTTTTTTTCAGTTGAATCTTATGAATTCTGAAGTCGGTAGTACAGTAAAGTTTCAATCACAATTTTTGATAAAAAGCAGCAAAATTTACAGAGTTTTTCGTTTTAGTGAATCAGAACACAATATTCTAACTTTATCCAAATCTGAACGAATGTTTACACATCTTACTGTAGCAATGGGCGCAATAATTTCTCACTTCATTTCAATACAGTTCGTTGTTAAGTAGGTGGTTTTTTGTTTTGAATCAAAAAATAATAATTTCTAAAACATTAGAATCTTGCTCTAATGAACAGTTGCAGAAACGGTATGAACTCTAGGAATTTCAAACAGCAGTAGACGTAGGATGAAATAATTGTATTTTTCAGAGCCGGAGCCAGAACTGCTTTTACAACAGCTGGTATTATTTCTGGAATTACGACGCTTCTAATCCCAGAAGCATTACAAGTATCATTCTGGCTTCTTGTAGTATTACGTGCACTACAAGGTGCCACATTTGCGGTCAACTACATTGTTATTGGATCTTTTGTCTCCAAATGGTCTTATTACAAACAGGTGTTGATTAAAATTTGACAGTCACAAATTAAATCCACAGTTCTTCACAGATACAGTTCCATCTGTCGATTTTTTAAAGCACTTTCAAAAACAGAAAGATGGAACACTGGAAAGCACCGAGTAAGCGGAAAAATTTTAGCAAGGACTCTTCGTATCGGTACTGGCAGCTTCAGCTCAACTGTCTCCAACGATGACCAGTGCAGTTTCCGGACCGATGTGTACAAACCTTGGATGGCGTTCAATTTATTATTTTCACGGAATTCTTACCGAAATGATTTTTATAATTTTTTTGATTTGTTATCGCAATCAACCGATAAAGCACCCGTTGGTTGGTGTAACAGAAGTGAACAAAATTCATACCAATAAAATAACGTAGGTTAATGACAACTGATTCTCAATAGTTGCTTAAAATGAGAAAAACAGAACAATATCAGTTTTTGATCTACGGAACTTTCCGAATAAAAAAATGTAAAATTTTGATTCTTTTACAGCAACAGTTTTTTGAACGTTCCTTAGTTAAAATTTGAAGATTACCAGCGAAGTCTACACCATACTTATCCGTTCTGAGATCGTTATCTGTTTGGGCTATATGGATTGCTGCTATCGGAAATTTCTTCCCAACTTCACTACTTTATCTCTTTTCAATGAATTATTTTCATGCTATTCTACATCTCGACGTAACTTTTTCTTCCTACTTGTTTTCTTTTCTCAAATTTAAGTCAAAGCTTTTTGGAGAAATGATTGTAAAAACTAATTGGTTAGTTTCATATGATTAATGATTATTAAATTTTTTGTTGTGCATATAATATCTTATTTCAGATTGAGGTTATGGCTATTGTCAATGCAATTCCTACTCTTCTGCAGTTTTTCTTGAAAATTATTGCTGGTTTTTTGAGCGATAAAATTAAATGCATTGGAGATACGGGAAAACTTCGAATTTTTAATACTATAGCATTTTTTGGTTCAGCAGCTGCTGCGGCTGCTTTGGCTGGTGTCTCGCTTCAGAAAGATCCGAATAAAGTAAAAAAAAAAGACAAAAATTTGTAGTTATTTTTTTATTCTCTTTCTTTCAGCCTAATTTTCTACACAGATTAAAGGATGGAATAACAAGAAAAACATTGCTGAAAGATTTTAGGGAGAACTTTAATTAAGCAACTGTAGTCACTGAAAAAAAATTTATTAAGATATAAATCAAGTGCTGCGTCCAGATATATTAGCGAAGAAATATCAAATTAAAACGTTTTGAGTGCTCGAATGTTTCTTTTCGTCGAACGGCTTTCTTATTACCGATAAGGTGCTATAGTTTCAGAATGATGATTGCAAGATTTGTTGGTTTTTGCATTAACATCTTGATGCTCTACTTAATAAACGGTGTGTATTTGAAATCACTAAATTCACTGACCTGAAGTTTAATTTAACTGCATGTCTTAAATAACATAATTACAGCAAATATCAGAATTACTTGGTGAAGCCACGAAGAAATTCGACAAAATTCATAATTTTTTACTGGTACTGGGATAATCCTGCTCTTTTCAGAAAAACTTGTGTTACCGTTCTTCTCATCGCATGTTCAGTGACCGGAAACGATTATTTCTTGTTCGCATTTAATTTGAAGCAGACTTTCTCAAAAACTTAAAAGAAGGACTAAATTTTCACTATTCTAGACAGTTAGCGTTTATCACTGCCTTAAAGAAGTTTAAAAATCCGCGTATTTCTTCCCTGAACTTGGCTTTAACTGACTAGAGCCGAAATGGTTTTGAGAAATAGTTGCAGCATTGGCACTTTTCAAGCAATAAAATTAAGAAGGTTTTTGTGAAAGCACGACAGTATTGGGACTTATAAATAGTTTTTTTTTTTACAGCAATGTTGAGTGAGATTTGCGAAAGTCAAAAATGATGCACAACAGAGAGGTGAACTGCTTGGTAATATTTCTGGTGTTTCAACATGACTTTTTCCACCTTATTAGAACTACTGCTTTTGTAAAGTGAATAAACTAATTAAAAACTGTTATTTAAGGTGCTCTGTATAATACTTTTGACGTTACTTGTTGGTCTTCTCGGTATTTCAACTGGAGGTTTTGTAAAAGCTGCACCATTAATTTCTGGTATATATGCACCGTTTGTCACCGGTAATATCTCATTGATATTTTCGTTATGCCTTCTTGTGGCTCCGTATATGAAACTACAGTTGGCAGCTGATGATACCAATACTCAATGGTCTCTAGTACTTGCTATTTGCTCTTCTGTTACTGTAAGTTTTATATTTTGATACTGCCTTCTAGGAACAATAAGTTTATCGTCTACAGATACCAGATAACGTAAAATTTTTGCAGTTTTGACCAACATCTAAAACGAGGCATTTTTTAGGCAATCAGTAATATCATATTTGTAATTACTATCAGTGGAAAACCAATAGAGTGCAGTCAGCAAGCAGGTGCAGTGGTTGCTCCTGTTAAACAAACATCTCCTGTAAGTTCAGAAGTGCTGTCGTCGACTAACACCGATACCACTGAAGCAAAACGATGACATTTTGAATAATGAGTAATATTCAGGAGATGCTGACTTATAATTGTTATATACAATAAATGTATC